GTAAAAAGAACCCGCACACCTACATTAAAAAAAAAAGATTAAAATATAACAGAACTGCAAGTCATAATGTGGGCATGATCTGAAGGGCCGACAGAAGCCGTTGCAATGTATAAGTGGACCTGCTCTGCTGTGGGAGCCTGATTGGCTAATTCGGCCGTAACAAAACAGCACTCCGTTTTTTTAGACTGACTCTAAATTAGCACCAGCTACAAAAATTCAACTCACTTCTGTGGTGATGGTTTGGCTCTCAGCTGCCCCTCGCAAAATGTGCGACTCCGACTCCCGTGTCGGGAAATCTATTTACCTAGCTGTATGTCTCCGTCTTTCTGCTGGTATGCTGCATCCGTATCGTTAGCCTTGGGTTGTCCGTGACAGAAAGGATCGAAGAAACCCTCTTACTATTTGATTTAACGTGTGTTGATTGGGAGTGTAACGTTTAGAACCATTATGCAATTCGTATAATTTGAACAACTCATTTTTCTAAGAGGAACTTGTGTTTTCTGTCCCTTCTGCGTTTAGTTCCTCCCACCTCCGCCCCAACCCGCACTCCTTTTTCTGATCCGTTACCATTAATGCTTTTTTATTCTTCGTCTCCGGAGTCTGCTTCGACAACTATTGCGAGATTAAGTAAGCTCGTTAGGAGCAGAAGGAATGTTGCTCCCACCTCAAACTTATATTTATTAAAGTTTAGTTTGCAGTTTCGGGGCCAAGGTTAGATCACGTTGAAGTTTCTGCTAGGTCTGACAGGAACAGGAGACATTGGACTTTGATCGTCGTGGTGTACGATGGCATTTTTTTTAAGGGAGGGGGGTATACTTTAATTTTACCTCGTAAGCGATCTCGTTTTTCTAAGAATAACACGTTCTCATCAATTCTTTCTTGTGAAAATTAAAAATGCATTCAAATCAATGGTTCTAATGATGGTATGAGAATGGTTGGCGGGTGCTCTGGCGTGGTTTGCACCTTCTTACCTATCAAACATCTATCGTCATTACCTCTTCTCTTTCTTTCTTTGTATCTTACTCTCTAGTAACACTCTCATCTTCGCCACTTATATGACCTGTGCCACAACACTCTTACCAAAGTCTAAACTAAAACTAACTGATTGTATAAATATGCCTACCGTCGCAAGACATCTTTTCTAAAGCTGCTCATTTCCTCTATTCGTTTATCCTTGTTTCTAATTGTAGCAGAGTCTGTGCGCGTTTTTGCTTTACAGATGAAAGTCTTTAGTTCTATTCTACAGTATACTTACTTACTTTACTTAACCGTTTCGGCCTCTGTTACTCTTGCGATAAGGATGAGAGAAGCAAGTGTCTTTCTCTTTGTTGTATTGCCTGTTGTACGTTTATGCTGTTATTGACTCCTTTATGGAACACATTTAATCGGATCTCTCCGTCTTTGTGCTAGGAAGTAGCTTCCTTCATGGTTTGCCCTGACAGGCAGGGTCGGAACAAACCACCTTCTAAGAGATCTTAATTGTGTCTGTGTAGATGTAGGACTTAATTGGAGCGTATTAGCAGATAAGGATGTGTCATATTTCACTGCTGTCCTTATGTGTGTATATTGTATATAAAGTAAAGTTGTTCCCGCATCCGATCCGCACATTGGGGATTGCCTTGTTGGTGAGACTACTTCCTGGGCCTTCGGCATATTGTGGTAGGGTGGCCAGTTCCTTTCCACGCCGACTTTACTTCCCCAACTCGAAATCAAGGTACCCGCTACTGCTGGGTGGGCAGGAAGAGGCGAAAAAAATCCGTAACTGAAACGAGGCTCGAACCTGGACTTTCCTCATCGGAGACGAGCGGACTAACCACTCCGCTCCGTCACCGCACCCTTCTATTATATAATGTAATTATTAATGTATGGCTGAGAAAGTTCTTCCTTGTGTAGTTGAACTGTTTTTCTTTTTTAAAATTTATATGAAATGGGTTTTCTTGCGTGCGTGAGATTTTACTCTCAGTAATCATGTCGTCCATGTAAACAGCCTAGAGCTTATTATACTTGTATTGGGCACAACGTTATATATTTGCTATCCGTTATAATTATTATTTTATTATTTTCTTGATATATTACATGTTCCTCAGTGAGTATCGCCGAGGTAGACCGTCTGTGGCTGCGGTTCCGGCAGATGGGAGCTAACCAAGATGGCGTCCTCACGTCTGAGATCCTCTCCTCCCCCAAACTGACTGGAGACGTCTTTGTAAAAAATGTACGTTAAATCCCTTCTCCTTTCTCTGTTCTCTTCACTCCC